TGCTTTAGACATGAATAGAAGGAAAGAATAATTATTTTGAAAAAACGTGATCAAATTTATTTTAAAATTAAATAAGAAAAAATCAAGATAAAAAAAATAACTGTTAAATTTATTTAGTATCAACGTTCTTGATCTTATATTTTTTTTTATTCTCATCGATTTTTTTTTGTTTATTTTTCTAAGTTTGATTTTTTTTCACGGTTTAAAAATCTTTATCATATACTCGCATATATGCGAATCCTTTACCTATTGAGTTAATAAAACGAAGAAGTTTCAATGATATAAACAAGAGTAAATGATATAAATATTAAATATACAAGGAATCAAAAACAAGAGTAAATGATAATGATTTACGGAAGAAAGTTTAACATCTTCCTTAAGCGGTCTATATATCTTGTCTTGATATACTCTCTTAGAGTATTTTTAGGCATTTCTTCGTTCGCTGGAATTGACATTCCCATCCTATCTCGACGTATTTCTTTGGCCTTTGGTAGGGAACCAATGCCTACCTCAAGCTCCGAGCAGTCAGACAAATCAAGAAATTCGAGGGGATTCAAGTTCTGCATTCCCACAGGCAGGCGTCGGAGCCTTTTGCAATGATTCAAATCTAATGTAGCAAGTTCAGCAAGATCCACAATAGAAGACGGTAATTCTTTTATGGAAATACCAGCAAGATATAACTCCTTTAGATTTTGAGGAAAATCATGAAGTTCCTCCAATGCCGAGCAGCCAGATAGTGTAAGCGTGACAAGAGATATCAAGTTACTCCTTCCCATTGGCAGATGTTTAAGCTTTTTGCACTTCTCCAAACTTAATATAACAAGTTCAGAGAGATTCTCAAGCAATGATGATGGAAATGCTTTCACCGCAGTGCCAGCGAGATACAACTTTTTGAGGTTTCTTGGAAGATCATGAATATTTTCAAGCTTCGAGCAGCCAGAGAGGTTGAGCGAAGCAAGAGATTTCATGTTACTCATTCCCACTGGCACGTTTTGAATCATTTTGCAACCCTCCATATCTAGTATGATAAGCTCAGAGAGGTCGTGGCACATAGAAGCTGGAATTTCTTTCACGGCAGTTTTGGCTAGATATAACTTCTTCAGGCTTTTTGGAAAAACCTGTATCTCCTCAATTTTTGAGCAACCAGACAAATCAAGAACTTCGAGGCCCTGAAAAGTAACCATGTCAGGCATAAATCTCAAATGCTCATGCACTAAAGCTTCAAGGAAACAAGCTTTCCAAGATATTGATTAAAGAAGCTGACATTTACCTGACTCGATGATTCTTCAAGGTGACTTTGCCCATGCTCTAAGGCATTTGATAAACCCTGGATTTCTGGCGAATGATTCCAAAAAGATAGTTCTCTTATGCTTGTTCCCTTGAGATGAAATTTCCTTATAGACGGTGGAACCTTTGGAAAAGATTTGATCTCTATGCAAGTGGAGAGGTCTACAATTTGGAGATGTTGTAGTTGATCTGTGTCTGGGAAGCTTTGCAACCTTGAACATCCTTGGAGATCAATTTTCTCGATATTTCGAGAATATTGAAGTTCATCAACGTTAACTAGTTGTAGGGAATAACTAAGTGTGATCCTCTTCAAAACCTCAAGATTCTGAACAAACAAGCAAAGATAGTAAAACCGAATGTAAGAGAAATTCACTAGCTAGTATGATAAACATTATGTAAACCGCGTATGGAGATTTCTAACCTTGGTTGTTCCCCAGAGTTTCTCAAGTTTACTATATGGCATATTGAGTTCTACAAGATATTGAGCATCAAAATCTTGTGGTAATGATTGTGAGGGGTAGTTTTCCCAATGGAGAAGTCTTAGCTCATGTGGCAAACATTGATGGCCCTCGGGAAAGGGAAATTCTATATTCTGATTGGAACTAGAAATCTTCAGATATCTAAGGCTATACATATGTTGGAACGCAATATGAACTTTATAGGCTAATTTAGACGTGTCCATCATTATGGCTTTAATATCTTCATTTCCCTGG